AGAGAGAGAGAGAAAGATTAAAGGATCAAAACAAAATTTATGAAAAGTTTAGGATCATATAATAATTTCAAAAAACTTTTGTGCAGTTAAAATTATATTGAATTTGCATGCATAACTCATTGGATGGGAGTGAGTTTAGGACGGAACCATAAATTTATGTTAGGGGGATAAAATTATAAAATTTTTAGTGAGTTATTTATTAATTTAGATTGTATAATTTATATAAATTTTTAAATTAATCACCAATTTTATGATTGTACTAGTTATATCAACCACATCAATTTTTAAAATTCAATTAGATATATTTAAACATTTTTAAATAGCACATGATTTAAGGTAATTAAATAAATAGTATAAAAATATAATTTTTTTTAAGATTACTGTTTACACCTAAAATAAACTAATGAGAGAATGCCACGTGTTAAGGTGAAGCCCAATTATCAAGAGAAGTCAGCAGGTTGGATTTGGGCTGAGCTGGGTTATAACTTAAGGGCCCAGACAGATTTTTTAAGAAGTTGGATTTTAGGTGGCAGAGGATAAGATAAGATAAGATTTGGTAGTTTGAGTCTGATTTAAATGGGAAATTGAGGATTTTTAGGTAGTTATCTTTAAGGTTGTTGGAGATAAGGTTAAATAAAAATTATCAGATAACTGTCAAACAACTGCCAGACCTGCAACCCCACTGCCAAATCATGGAGGAACTCAACCGAAGATCATGGAGAAAGTTACCAGCACCGAAGAAAATAAATACAGAGAGAAGAGAACAGTTTCAGGCCTGCCCAACACACACACAGACTGCCTAGAGCATGTTTTTTAGCTTTCAGACTGCATTTTCCATATTTCAGCAATAGTTTCCAGACTTTTCAGATTTTCCAGATTAGTTCATAGCCTTAGCCTAGGTTTGTTCATCTTCGTTCATATTTTCTCCTGCAAATTCCAATTTAGATTAATTTTTAAGCATTTGGAAGCAACTTAGCCTTCAAAACAGGTCTGCCCTTTTGATTCGGTTAGTTCTTCTTCCTTTTATGGATTTAGTTATGTTATTCATTCATGCAAATAAGTTGAACGTTCTCTATCTTTGTTCTTTTGTCTTTGCACAATATCCAGACATGCAGTTCACTTAATTTCAATTTCCAGATTTAATTTTATAAGTTTCTAGATTTAATTTTATAAGTTTCCAGACTTTAATCATTTCATAGTTTTTTCTTCAGTTTTAGTTATCAAGTAGTTTAGCTATTTTGATTTTAATTTTGCCAGTAATTAGTTTAATCATTATGGGCTGCGTAGTTGAAATCATTGTCTATTATTTTACTTCTTCTATTGTTTGCGAATTTAATCTTTATAGTATAGCATGTTATTTTCTATTATTTACTTCATGTTAGTTTAATTGCATTAGGATATTGCATTTATTTTAGGATTTGTAGCTTTTATTACACTTGTTTGGTTGTGAAGTTCTTGGAGGTTTCCAAGGCAATTAGTAACTCATTTTGCAAAACTCTACCTTCTATTTTGCAACATCGTCTGGGGTGCAATTCATTTCACAGACGTTCTTTCCAGCCATCCTATTGGAGTTCAACTCCTGGAAAGGAGAAGGGTAGTCTGGAAAATCCTATTTTCTTGTTTTTAGACAAAGCAAGTGGCACGCCTAATAACCAAACTCACATGGTAAAAGCCAGCTAAAGATTTTTGGGGAAACAATTACATATATCATTTAAGTTTAAATTTGAAAGATATCATTTACGTGAATAGAATAAATTCATATGTAGATTTAATAAAATATAAATTATACAAACAAAAATGATATATAATTAATGTAAAAACTTATATAAATTATATCAATAAATTATATTTTAACTATTTTTTATATTTGTTTTACTTAGTTAAGATTTTTATATCTTTATAAGAATTAGTCACAAAAAAAAAAACGATCCCTTTACCTAAATTATAAGTATTTTCTTTATATTTAAATGGTTTTTATAATTCAAATTTTATAAATAAAATTTTATAAAAAGTAAGAGTATATGTACCATATTTGACATTTTTCAAGGTCCTATACTTGTTCCGTCCTAATATGAGTCCCATGATATAAAATGTCGTCTTTTTGTTCAACAATTCAAATCTCATAATTTGAAATAATCTCATATAGTTTGCATTGTAGAACAAGTTTGGACGGTAGAACAAGCACCTTTAATAACTAACCTAAAAACAAAAATGAAATACTGGATATATCTGGAACCCGTCTAATACATAGTGCAAATCCTGGGCCGGCAAAAACATGCACATGCATGCTGCTTAGCTTCCGTATTTTCCCAACATTTCACTTTCCCGGTAGCCAATCAGGCAACCACAAGCAAAATCGCGAGAAAACTGTCAAAAATTGAGTACTCAAGACCATCGCGTGCAGACATTATTATGTAACCAAGACTTCGTTATGAAATCTGTACACCTGACTCCTTTATCCACCTCAATACTCTGCGCGAGTTTGCCTATTTTAGTTTTCAGTGATCTTTTTCATTCTTCAAATTTCTACTATATGTCTATATCCCACCATCCTAAGGCGAAATGTAAGAAAAATAGAACGTACGGTAGAATTATCTTTATATATTTAGCAAAACTTGAATAAATTATGAGATTCTAATTTGTTTTGACTTTTGGGTTAATTATACTCTGTTTGGTTCCAGAGTAAAAATGCAAGAGAAAGAAATGCGATAGCAAGCATCCATGTCATAAAATTGCTATAATCCTAATTATGCTTTGTTTTCAAGAAAAATCCGGCAAAAATCACCGACAGCCCACGAGAAGACTCAGAAGCTTCATGGCACCCTAGAAGGTCTGGTCTTGAGTAACATTTTGTTCTCTGCTTTCAGTTTTGTCCAGCAATCGACATCAATGGCACCATGGAGTAATCAACTACCCCCTATCATTTTCATGAACAATATCAATATGGAGTACCCTAATAAAAAGAAAAAAATGAATGAGGAACTCTATTTTATGACGGGGAAACAATCAACCATGCATGTGTACAAACTACAAAGGGCTTCTTTGTTTTTCCTCAATGCATATGGCTTTATGCCTTCATTTGTCCATGACCAAGAATTCAGAAACAATGAAAGAATGTAGGGATGAAAAGCATATCCTTGCTTTGAAAATCTAATGTAATAGCTCTGTCCGATAAAGCAACTTCTTACTTAGGCCACCAGCCATTGGCAATTAACCAAAGATGATCATTTCTTGCTTGCCATGTAGAGGCCTGAGATTATAGCTACCCCAGCAACTACCACGCCTATAGAGGTGATAATCTTCACAGCTGATAGTGCAGGTTTTTGGGATGGAACTTCCAAAAGATCATTCACTGAAACAGGCTGCTTCCAGTGCTGCTTAATTCCTTGTAGGTGACCTTTTCCAACGACTGCAATGACTGAACTATGCTCCCTAGCAACTTTTAGTAATGAGGACGACATGTACCTGCATGCAAATATCATATTGCAAAACAATTAAACTCATGGTTAGGATGCAAAATGACTAGTGGTGCACTTTCAAAATAATTCATCCAAAAGAAGTGCAGTCCCCATATGAGTGCAACCCAGCAACCCAGCAACCCAGCAGCCCTGTCCTTATTTATCCAGAAATAAAGTTTTTGTTCGACTGACAGTACTCTATGTTATACACAGGATGAAAGTTAGTGTAACATCTCCTTTGCCCAATTTCTTTCAAGTTATCCCTGCTTCTAATTGTCAATACATACAAAAATGTGCACAAACTAGATAAGCAGTTGCACTCAAATGCACTTATTAATATTCCAAAAAGTTTTATATACCACTCAAAATGGAACTCCTTTATTCTATAGATAAATGTCAGATAATGCATTCGACAGAAAACACATATATAGACTGCTTCAAAATGCCAGTCTCTCACAAAACACAAGATAACGTAAAGAACCAAACCAAAACCCTAGAGATCTCCCACAATGCCCTTCTCCCAAAGAAGATATTGTTATTATATTGATAGAAATGGTCCCAGAAGCAGGGACATAAGCTTTTAGATTTTCAGATTTATTTTAAATAAAAATAAGAGTTGTTAAATTTCTTTTATAGTGGTTAGCAAAAGGAGTGAGAAATTCCAAAGATAATACATACTGTTTAGTATTGTTTAAAAGCCTTAATTCTGTGGTTTAAATATTTCAAATCTCTGATCTGTCATGAACCAAAAATGAAAAAAGAAACTACTAAATCTGAATGATATCACAAAACTTCAAGAAAGAAATGATAAGGAAAACCAAAAAAGATGTAAGTCATTACATTACATGCAGATCACCTAAATTTACAAACTCCAGTCAAAATTAACAGTTAAAAAGTACACTTGTCATATACCGCAAACAAGAAAAGGGAAAATAAAGAAGTCAACTTTGAACCTTCTTCTATTTAAGGATGTTGACTTTGTCAGTTTCTAAATAAGGATGTAAACTTTTAACTTTTTCTATGTAAGGATACCAATCTTCAACTTTTTCTATTTAACGATTAATTGGACGAGGATGCTGATGTAGCAAATGGACCTTTTAACTGGAATGTTGAAAGTTGGCATCCTTAAATAGAAAAAGTTAAAGTTGACATCCTTAGAATAAGTTGAAAGTTGGTATCCTTATTTAGAAACTGGCAAAGTTAACATCCTTAAATAGAAAAGAGTGCAAAGTTAGCATCCTTATTTGTACCTTTTCTTCAAATGAAACATATAATCCTAATCCTATCAATGTACCAGCCATGTGAGAGATGAAGAAGAACAAAGAGGACTACAGAGTCATAGACAGAAGAAGAATCATTGAGAAAGTAATTGTAACTACAGATTTCAACTTTGGGCTAAAGTATAAGGTATGAGGCACTGTTCTTGTCTAAAATAATAGATTAGGGGCACCTAACCATTGAAAAGTTTGTCCTGGGGTTGTTAGATCAAGTCAGATAAAAATTCTGCTTAAGACTTCCTACACCTAGTAACTCCAATCCATGCTGAGACATTCATATGTATTGAACAAAAGATCCAAGTGTTTATTTCTCCTTTCTTTCCAATTCTTTATTTTCATGTCATTAAAGCAAGTGAGATTAACTGAAAAGAGCTAATTCATAAGAGGTTTTCAAATTAAAATTAAGGCAAAGGTTACCTATTATTTGATATCAGAGCCAACAAAATACAACTGAAATTCTAAAATTTATAAATATTAAGAAAGCAACAGAGTATTAACTGATCTCGCTCATGGACAAGAGTTTCCATTAGAGTAGGGAATTCCTTGCTCATTTCTTGAATCACAAGAGTCAACATGTCAACGTCATCCATATCCTTCAACTAGAAAAACAACAAAAATATTAGCAAGATAACTATATAAATTTAATACACTTATTTGGATATTTCCCCTTTTTTTATAAAATACTTGTTCAATCATTGAAATGTAACACAAGATTTAATGAAGCAACGCAAAAATAAAATGGACTGATGCTGATAAAAGTAAATAACAGAGCTTACCATTTTATTAAGTTCTCCAGCACTGGGCAGGAAGATAGCTTGAAAAATCAAAGAATATAGCAACTTTGTCTTATGCCAAAGGGGCATCTTTGCCCAAGTTCTCCGCAATGTAATCTGCTTCAACATCAAATTATTGAAAGGATTTACATATGGCAATATTTACACAGAAAAGCATTAAAAGAAAGGACAGCTTAACAATGCTATGAGATTCTTTAAAAAATGAATAAGCATAAAATGGCATCATATTTGTAAAAGTGTGTTGTTAGAAGCTGCAGCAACGGCGCTAATAGTACCATGGCAAACAACATGTTGATCATAAAACAGTGGCAAGCACCATATAGAGCACAAGCAGCAAGGTGTAATACACATTATTCTCTCGTTCATAAGCACCATATGTGATCAAAACGAGGGTTTAAGTTTTTTTCTTTTTTTTTTGGGCATAATTCCAGAATTCATAAGATAACCAACCTAAGAAGGACAAATACAAACCATGACGACTTAACATTTCTCTGAAATTTATTACCAAGTTGGGGATCTAAGTTTAGTAAAAAATACAGTGAACTGTTCTCCCTATGATATATGCTAGAAACAATCTATAAATTTTAACTTCTATAATACCCCTTGTATTTGTACCTTCTATGAAATTTATGAGAATGACCAGAAGGGGGAATGGGAGGAACTATCTTCCAAACGAATCAGAAAAATATCTTACTTCTACAGGACGATCACCAAGTATAATCTTGCTACCGTATTTCCTTGCTTCTTCATATGCTACACGGAACTCAGAGCCAGGGAAAACCTCAAGCTGACTAGCAACCTATAAGAATTCCAATAATTGTTTCAGATGCAAAATTCATTAATTATTCATAATTCCACAGGCCTGGTAATAAAAATAAGATAAAAAAATCATGATTAAGGAGCGTACCTTTGCAAGAAACCAGCTATAAAGTATTCCAAACATGTTATGATTTTTTTTCCACATATCTATCATCTCTCCAAAGGTTGGTATCTGTAGAAACAGGAAACTTGACAGCTGAATATTGAACCTTCATGAGGATATAAAAAAGTAAAGATATGTCTAGACACCATCAGTTTCCATACACTCAATGTAAGACTGTAGATAGCCTAAAATACAACAGCTTAACAATTCACAAAAACCAAACTGAGATGCATCAAGACAAAGAAGCCTGAATTACTAGTCATGACTCCCTTCGAAACAGAGATGCCATCACATCAAAGAAGCCTGAGCTTTTAGTCATGACTTCCTCACACCTTAGTCAGATAAAAATGATAAAGAAGAAAGACAGAGACAAAAAGGATCAATTTTCATCAAGCTTAAAAGCAGATGGAATGTATATTAGGATGAAGCAGGCTAGATTCCTAACAAAAAATTGTCCAAGAAGAATGCCAAAGCTTAATAGCTAATAATCCTCCTCAAGGAAAATTCTTATTAGAGAAAGAACAATGATAAAAAGCAAACCTTCGTATTTTTGGGTGGGGGGCAAAGCACAAGAACTCGACTTGAGCATAACTCCAAAAAAACAACCTGTAAATAATATATGAAAACATTCCGTAGCTTCATACTTTGTACCAACTTGGCAGGTTATGAAACAACAGTAAAAACAGGCAGGTACCTGCTAAAATACTCATCCATAATCAAGTTCAAGTGTTAGTATGTTCACCTGTGGTTTTAAGAAACTAACTACAGCTTCAACTTCTCTGCAAGATTCCTGCAACCACAAAAGTAGAAATCAAGGTTCTCATCAATCTCTGCACACAGAACTTACTGGCCATCTAGGAAATCATCAAAACTAAATTTCCAATCAGTACGGCATTTCACCATATTTTGCATACATTGGCTAAATAGAAAAAGAGAGAATACAAAAAAATGGAAAGAAAAAAGTGAAGGGAAGGGGTTCACGGTGACTTCCCAAAGGTTGTTTGGATTATTTAGAGAACACAGATAACCAATCTCATCATGTTGGTAATTTTATGTTCAAACACCAACAATTATACTAGCTAATTTTATTTTATATAAAACCAGATCAGAAAAAGAAATAGAAGATAGTTACCACACAATTAGGACTTAGAATGTCTCCATTTTTTATTCCACTTTCTCCTATTCACTTCTATAAATCCAAGAAACCATTTCTTCCTAATCCATATCGTTAAGTGAAAAATTAACATAACAAAAACAGAAAAACAAAGATAATATACTATCATTTTCTTCCTCTTTCACCTCCCATAATTTTCTCTGATTGATCCAAAGAGAAGTTTAAGAATAAAGAAAATACAAGTTTTACCCTATTCACGTTCTTAGAACAGATAATTCTCAGGTAAGCAATGAATTTTCCTTCTCCAAGACTGAAAGAACGCAAAACCGAAAGAGAAGCAGATTCAAGATTGTATTTTTCCTACGATTTTTCAACCAAACAGAAATCAGAATCCAAAAACAAAAGCAAGGATTCACTTGCCTGAGATACATGAGCGGTCCCAACCAGGTAGACATCGCAGGTTCCGCCTTCGACAGAAGATTCGCAGGACAGAACCATCACGCTCCTGGAGAGCTCCTCGGGGAGCTCCACCTTACATCGCTCAAGAGAATCAGATGGTTCACCAGTCGGAACCGCATCGCTGCCAATGTCACCTTCACTACGCAGCTCGTCCTCGACCTTCACAATACTCTCGCTCAATGAATCCACCGCATTAGGGTCAGGGCTTTCGATGTGGACAAAATCCTCTCCAGAGGGGCAAACCAGTTCCGTCGGGATCGGGTCCATCGCCAGCTGCCTCCGGATGAAATTTGGAAAGGATCGGTCGATGGTAATTTGGGGTAAACTGTGGAGAGAATTTGTGGGGACGAGGGGAAGTAAACAGGACGAGTTGAGAAGGATGAGTGGGCTGGGCGAGTCAAGTAAGTAAGGAAAACGGTATCAGTTGTTTTGGGTTTAACGTGCGAGTGCGGCTATGAATCTTGGCGTTGCGGGACTGGGAGGGGAATCAAGTGCGCGAACGCATGTCACGATTGATACCGTGTTGCCACGTGGAAACGAGTAGCCATTTCAAAAGAATATTGTTTAGGTAAACTAAGAACAGAAAACTGTTTTTCAATGCATGCCACAAAGTAAAATCACGATTTGCACCTTCAAAAACGTTAATCGTCCCTCATTTTATTTGAAATTAGGCCCCCAATTATTTTTTCCCTTCGTGCTCACCCATTCTTTTTTAGTGCTTCGATCCTCTGTTCCCTTTTCTCATTCTAACATGTTGATTCTGACTTCTTTACTTATTTCATATATTTGTTATATTGATAATTTTCTTAAAAAATTATAGATAATCATAATTCCTTTAAAAAAAGTTGCAAGGTTAATAGCAATCTTTTCACAAATTGACAACATATAAATTTGATTTTGTCATAGAAAACTTGAATTTCTACAATGGCTACAACTCATCCCTATTGGTTGGAAGACTGAAAGTGAGAGAAAGAAAAAGGAGCTAGTGAAAGTAAAAAAGGGCAAAGTAGTGTTATGGGATGTTAGTTTTGTAGTAAAAATTTGATTAAAAGAGAATTTGAAAAGTTTTTCGTTAATTTTTCATTCTAAATAAGAATCTGATTAAAGGATGATTATGATATCAAGTTCTATATAAGAGGCAGATACCATATTATGCACTCGTCATGTTCAAAATTAGTTTTTTTTTTTTTCAATGGAATTAGTAAAGGATTCCCCAATGACTTGAACACATTCTTTTCCCTTTTTATCACATTTTCTTTGATTCGATTGATTTTTTTTTTCTCACTTAGCAGGTGGCATATTATTGCATTTGATTTGATGGTTTCTTTTTTAGTTTCTGCTATTACATTTGAAAATTTTGAAGCAAGACAAACTATTGATGAGATTAATAATGATTATTGTGTAGTTGTAAAAAGGGTGGAAGAGTTTAAGGATAAGATATTTTTTAATGAAGATGTAGCAAAAAAAGATATCGATGTTAAGTGATGCTAATAAAAAAAGACCTCATATCAAGATGCAATTTCCTATGGAGGATAATGCTTTTGGTTTTTACAATGAATATGCTATAAGGATGGGATTTAACATTCAAAAAGAATCAACTAAGAGACTAAAGTGGGATAAACTTATTAATAGAAGATATTTTGTTTGTTACAATGCAACTTACAAAAGAAAGCCCAAGAGTGGCATAGTCAAGAATCATATATAGCAATGCAAGATGCGGTACATCAAAAATTGCACAGCTTTTGAATGCCATAGGGTTTGGCAACTCATTTATTACACCAAACCAATGTAAACAATACTTGAGAAAGAAGAAAGAGCAATATTGGTCATGAATCTATGGCCATAGTGCAACAATTTCTAAATATTACTTTCGATGATAGATTCCATTACTTCGTTGAGCTTGATGAAGATGGTGTTTTTAAGAATACTTTTTGGGTAGATGAGAGAGCAAAGGCAATATACAAAGACTTTGGTGATGTGGTGGCTTTTTATGTCACCTACAATACTAATCAATTCCTTCTTCCTTTTGCACCATTACTAGTGTGAATCATCATGGACAATTTACACTGTTTGGATGCACTTTCTTAGCTAATAAACAAGAAGAATAATTTGTTTGGCTATTTAAGCAATGGTTAAATTGCATGGGAGGAAAAGCATCTCAACAAATCAAGACCCAACAATTATTAATGTAATTAAAGGAGTGTTGCCAAATACAAGACATAAGTTTTACATATGGTATATCTCTCTTCATGCAAATGAACATCTCTGTGCTTTGCAAGCTTCCTATAATCTAGGTTTTGATCAACATAACTATAAGTGGATGAAGAGCAAAACCATTGAAAAAGTTGAGAGTGCATGGGTAACACTAAAACAAAATTATAAAGATGATATAAAGAGTCATTAACTAAGAAGCAAAATAATGAGAAGCAATTATATAGGTGGTTGGAAAGTTTATATGAGAAAAGATATAACTAGATTGATGCTTATTTGAAACACTTTTTTGCTAGAATAAGATCAAACCAATGGAGTGAGAATGTTAATGTTTTTTTTTTTTTTTTTATGGCTATGTGAATTATACAACTCCATTGCGTGAGTTTGTTAACTAATATTTAAAGGCTTTACACTGTCAACTTGAGGAAGAAGAGAATGAGGACCTTCTTATAATGAAAATGAAGCCTAATTTACAATATGCGCATCCCTTAGAAGTTGATGTTGGAAAAGTGTACACAAGAAAATTTTTTACAAAGTTCCAACTTGAGTTTAAAAAAGCCTTCCTTTAATATTGACATGATAGTGGAGTGAGCAATAATGATGGACTTACAACATATGTTGTTTATTATGAGGTGGATGGTTATTAAATTCAAGTCACATGTTATACATTGTGGCCCATTTGAATGACAATTTACCTGTTGTTGTGGAATATTTGAAACTGTATGTATATTGAGCAAACATATTTTATATGTAATAAAGTAATGTTATCAATTACCATTGATTCTTGAATAATGTGTCTTGTCTAGATGGACTTTTTCTCATTGACATAAGAGTAAGAATGGTGGACCTTGATTGATTAACATATCAAAAAAAACCAAAGTTACACCTCTTGAAGCTTGAGATCTTCAACACCTCTTGAAGCTTGAGATCTTCAAAAAGCTTTAGATGAAGTGTATGAGAAAGCAATCAAGTATTTAGATCTTTATAATGCTACTGCTACAATACTAGATGATTTAACGAAGCAATTTGATAGCATATGTATGGAACAAGAAGAGCCTTTTATAAACCAAAGTGAGCAAGGTATCTCACAAGTTGCACTTTCAACAAATAAAATAATTTGAGATCCAACAAATGCTAAAACTAAAAGAAGACCAAAGGAAGACCAAAAGAGGTTACGAGAATTATTTCAAGAAAACAAGTTTCTCAAGCTAAAACTTAAAAGGCCACAAACTTGTGATGTCTACCATGATAAAGGTTATGATATTAGAACTTGCTCAATTGTTAAGAAAAGAGCCAAAGAATAGGTATGATATATGGATTTTTGATACTTTATTTTATTATTATTATTATTATTATTATTATTATTATTTGCATTTCAATTTTGGTTAACTATGTTTGTAATGCTTTGATTTTTCATTTTTTAGGGAGCACCTATAGCTAAAGTTGCATGTTCACAATTAAGCGAAACATTTCATGACTGTACCACAAAATTGAATTTTGACAAGGAGGCACTAATGATGCAAATTCTCTAAGGGATTTCTTCTAATATAATTTGTTTTGCTATGGTTATGGTGAATTTATACTTTCAAAACTAAACTAAATTTTTTATATACAAACTGCTATACTTGATGTGGTTTAGGCAAATAGTCAGCATTTTGTAAAGGCAATAGTAACATTTTGTGTAGGCAATAGTAACATTTTGTGTAGGCAAATGGGTAGCATATGTATAAGAAAATAGGTAGCATTTGGGTAGCATTTTGTATAAGCAAATAGCTAGCATTTTGGCAATACATGATGCATAATTTGTGCTTTTGTCATTTCAACATCATATGCCAATTGTCTTTCTAATAGCTTGTGTAGAGTATGGACAATTTGCATTAAAAACCGAATCAAAATTTTATTTCATAATAATTGTATTACATAAGCAATTTTGAGAAATAAATAGAATACAAAAGTCAAGACAAAGAAATGATGCTTACAATCAAACTATTAAAATTAATTCCACTATAACAAAAATCAAGCTGTTGATACAAAATCCATTTGAAGAACTCATTTTCTCCTTTTCCTTGTGCCTATCCATTTATTCCTTGGCTAATTTATGTTTCATAGACTTCAATTACACTTCAACTCTCCCATAGCATTAATCAAACTATAAAAAAAAAAAAGGGTGAGTTGGATCTTCCATCCTTCGATATATAGATTGTCCATTTGCTATAATAGATCTCATTAAAGCTTCCCCTTTTCTTTTGCTAGAATGAATTCTCCTTTAAAGTAGTTAACGTCATAGCATCCATGCATTATTCTAAAAAAAAAAAACCTCAAAGAAATCAAATTAAATTCAATTTAAAATAAAAAGCAACAAATATTGAAATAAGTTGTGCAACCAAGAAAAACAAACTAAGCCATAAAAATATCCTCTTCAAGAGTAAAATGACACTATATGAAATGCATCATGGGTCACTTATAAGCATGTTTTAGAGGAAGTCTTTGAGTGATCAATTAGAAAAAGAGCAATTGTGTTGGAGAGTAGGCACTCAACGAACGACTTTCAAAGATAATTACAAGGGTTCCATGTTAGATTTGAACATTGAAGAAGATGGTTTGGAGTGCAAAGAGATGAGAGGGAATAAGATGTAGTGTGAAGAAAATAATAGGAATAAAAGCATTTTTAGACAATATGAGAAATGACGATGATTTTGAAGGTACAAATTGTAATTTTCTTGATAGTCCATACTAAAAAATAATTTTTTGAACTAGAAATCTAAGGCTTTTCTTATGTTTTAAAAAAATTGTTTTATTGTTTAAAAGGTAAAACAAGGGAGGTTTTTAATATTGAGAGCTTATTTTTATCTAATAGTTAGTATCGTGTAATATAAATTATTTTATTTTTTTATAAAAATATATTTTTAGTGCAAACTATACTTTATTATACAGTCTTAATATTGAAATTACTAAAACATTATTAATGAAAAAATATAAAATATAGTTTTATTAAGGGTATTATAATAATTTTAGTACAAAAATTACACAAAAAATAAAATCTATACTAAAAAATATTTTTCTAAAAAAGTCTAATTTAAAATACTTTATACTTTTTCAACATTTTTTTGAATAATTTACACATTTTTTTTCACACTTGTGCCTAGCTTATTTGGTTTCTATTGAATAGTTAGAGTAGTTTGTTGAGAAATAATTAGAAAATATTGTATGAAAAAGTTCATAAGGTTTAT